AATAACCAAAAAAAAAAAAGCCCCCAAGGGTTAAAAAAACAGAGCATGCCAGCCATAAAAACCTTGTCAGAATCCCTCCAAAGTTATTTCCTGTTCTGCTCCCTTCAAATAATTAATTTCCTTACAGCAATATTTTCAAAATTACAAAAAGAGACCAATGCACCAAAGCACACTTTGCACACAGTCTCAAACACATCAGGACCAATTATCATTTTAGGTTTACCAGACCGAAGAATAAGGAAGGTTTTACTTAAGATTCTTAGCACTCTCCTTCTAGGAGACATGCAAGTATATTTCACTTGAAGACCTGGCTCCCCCAGGGGACAACAGTCTTCCATCCCTTGGGGACCCATTGTGGTGGACTGTGTCATCAATTCCCTTCTGGAGGACAAGTCTATATCACCTCCATCAAGTGCTGACCCCAAGCCCTGGCAACAAGAGGATACAGGGACAGAGGGTCTATCTACCTCACCAATCTTCATCAAATCTCATCCTAATGAGATATAAGAAGTACTGCCCAGACCGACAACCACCTTGGTTAGATTAGAAAAACATTCCCTGGGTGTTTGCAACTTCAGGGTTCTGAATAAGACATTTTTCTATCCCCTGGCCCAAGTTTTTATGCAAGCAAACCATGGATCAGGGTAGAAGAGTCTGCAGTGGGTACTGTGACAAGGATCTGCTTGTCACATAAGACACATAAGAAAACAAAAACATGGGGCTGGAGAGGTGGCTCAGAGGTTAAGAGCACTGACTGCTCTTTCAGAGGTCTTGAGTTCCATTCCCAGCAACCACATGGTGGCTTACAGCCATCTGTAATGAAATTTGGCGCCCTCTCCTGGTGTGCAGGCATATCTGCAGGTAGAACACACACACACACACACACACACACACACACACACACACGAAAATGAACACCATGCTGCTGGCTGGGGTAGGCCAGCATGGAGGCTCAGGGATCATCTGCACTGACCAGATTAAGGCTCCTCAGTCCTGAGTGACCTTGGATTCTCAGATGCCCTTTCTGAACCACTGGCTCTGCACATTTGCTCAAGGTTGTTTGCTTTCAGGTCATTACCATTATTCTTAAGCACTCAGGCCTCGTGTCTGTGGTTTGAGCACAAACCATGCAGGTTCTGCTCACTTTTCAAGGCCCCATCCCCAAAGCTAGAAATAAGAACATGTTGCCCATAACCCATTGCCCATTACTGCAAAAAACAAATGTTCCGTTATTTATAGCAACGCCCACTAACTCTGTTGCTATAACACTTTCCAGTTCGTTCCCTTTCTTTCAAAGAACACATGCAGTAGTGGCTCAGGACTGCACGAGTAAGCCAGGGCAGGGGAGCAGTAACAGACACAAAGCTGAAGACACAAGGGCTGTGGTTTCAGTCCAGCATCACTTAGTTCTGAGTCTGCCAAGGAAGAAGGAACAGAGATATAGTTCTGAGTGCCCAGTGTGTGAGAGAGGACAAGGAGTGACTTCAGAGTAAACTGCCATCGTTACTGTCTCTCTCCAAGGAGGGCGAGGGTGTGTGTGGTGTCTGTGTGTCATCAGTAATGAACTGCCAATGCTGTAAGAAGGCTGACCACAGTGACACAGGTGGCCATGATGCTACCAGTGTACCCCAAGGCACAAGTGACTAGACATGGTCCAGCAAGGCAAGAACAGACTTTCAGGAATCAAATGACATCCTGCAATCCATATGTGTATCTGAATAGGGTTGCTCAACAGACTGATTCTTAAGCTAGCCAGCTAGCCTGCTGCACTTGGTAAGTTCCAGGTTCAGTAAGATGCCCTGTCTCAAAAACCAAAGTGGGTGACGGCATGTGAGTGACATGTGGCTCCAAGTGAACTTGTGTCCATGTGCACCCCACCTGTTTGCACCCCTGCCCACATAATAGTAAGTGCATCTGTGTGCACACAACCTTCTCCCTACACACACCATGTTTCAGGGAGGAACTGAGAGCATGGTAAGGGTTAGAGGGCCGAATACAAAACTGGCTGCCTGAACACCCAAGACGCTTCAGGGTTAGGGAGCCATCAATATCCCAGTGTCCCTTCAGCCAGGGGTTGGCTAGGTTCTTACCTTTGACATCATTAAAGCTTGTCTCTGAGAAGCCCTCGCTCAGGTCAATCAGAGTCCCCTCTGACTTGCACCGAGGGAGGCCACTGGAGTTGGCCGCCCGGATGCGCTGGGCTGCCATGTTGAAACTCTTGGGTGAAGGAGGCGTTATGGTCTCATGTCTTCTCCCCCAGTGCCAGCAGGGACAGCAGCTGCTGTCTTCATATAACAGTCACGCTGCACGGCAGAGTCAACTTGGCAGTGTGCTTCTTCCTGAAGGGAAAGAAGAAATAATTTCCTCTAGCAAGTGGAGCATGGCTTTGAGGCTAATCGTACAGGAGGAGGGAACCCTCTTCCTTCCAGATCATTCCAGTGAAGAGAGGAGCAATTCATTGCTCTGGCCTGGGAGCAGAGATGGCATGCTGTCCAGACTCGGTGCCCAGTGAGCACTCAGAGACACTCTTCCTAGGGCACAATGGGGTCTGTGAAATGTGTTCCAGCACCTGGATGGCTATTCACTGCAGTCAGCGAGGACAGCCTGGGTCTGGGTAGTACACTACCACTTCCCGAACTCAGGAAGAAAACAGCCTTTGTCTGCCCAAAGCAGTGGGTCCTGTTGGAGGAACAACCATGGGAGGCCTGGCACAGGCAATAGTGAGCCAGTGGCACCATTTGCTCTTGAGGCCTTGCCACGGTGGTTTAGGGGGTTGCTCCCTGCCTGTGCGTACCCACAGTCCACACTGGACCACGAACAGACATCATAAGCCCAGTCCTTGGGGGCCACCAGATATTTGATGTGTAGTTAATACATGTGAAATTGGGCCCACCATTGAACTGTTATGACTGGGTAGGTGTGGAGGACATTGCTATGAGTGAGGTTTGCTCTCAGTGGAGAAGAGACAAAGACAGGGCTTTATCACCTGTGTCTCATTGGTTTGGAGCAGACCCTAACTCAGGACTGATGGGCAAGAAATAGAAACAGAGAAGAGCTGATTTCAGTGTGTCAGTTTTGCAGCTTCTCTAACAGAAACCAATAGATTCAGCCTTAGCTGGCCACCCTCAGCCATAGCCAGCTGGCCCACCACACTGGAAGAGGAGACAGACAAATTTCATCCCCAAACAACTGGCTCTTATGACACGGCCTAGGTTCCTTATGGCTCAATACTCCACCTAGAACATGGCTGGTCCTCACACCGCACTCTATGACAAAGTGACACTTCATGCTTACCAGCCCCAGACTCTGCAAACCCAGCTCAAAGGCCACGCGCAGTAAATGAGCAGGCTCCTCACCCATCTCCTGCTGACAGGGCGACTTGTAGACAGCCTTACTCCTATACAGCCCCAGTGTTCGTGTCTGTCACCTGGGGCTAAAACCCCATTAACTAGACACCTTTTTTTTCTAAAGGGATATACCCGATGCTCACATGAAATGACGTAGACCACAAAGCAAGGTCTCAATGAACACCAGTTACCACCACCAAGCATCAGAGGCCAGTCCTGGCTCCAGTGACCAGTGGGCAGAGGTTCAAGAAAGGCTTCCGGCTTCCCGCCCACCTTAAGACTCCTGCTTGCAGGATCTCTATGCCAAAGACTCAGTGCCATTTACGGACACTGGGAAAACCACAACAGAGGAAACTGAGGCTTGAGAGTGGGAGGGGGAAATGTCACTTCAGGCACAGAGCCTATGCATAACCTGAGCTTGTGCAGGAGGGTGGGAGAACTTTCCAACTGCACAATGCCAAGTGAGACTCTAAGGCTGAGGAGAGGCTCTAAGGAGAGGCAGCAGACTGTGCAGCCAATGAGGAAGGGAAAGTGAGATCAGTGATGTCTACTGGCTGTGACAGCTGATGGCAGACTTGGTTTGTCCTATAGATGCTGGTGCAGCCCAGAGCTGCTCTGAGGACTCCATGCAAAAGAGGGTATGCTCTGGCTCTTAGCTGGTCTAGGGACACAGTTGCCTGCTGTCCTCTGTGTCTAACATGTCTCCCAGAAATGAATCGGTCACCTTTGCTATCCCTCCTCCCTTACTTCTATAAAGAAGGGGGGTCTTATGAATTGTCCCATTCTTAGCCACGAGAACCGATTTTATAGAGGGATAAAGAACCAAAGTCCAGACGGCATGAAAAGGGGGCGATAGTGCTGAGCTCTGAGGCAACTGTCCCATTCTTAGCCACGAGAACCGATTTTATAGAGGGATAAAGAACTAAAGTCCAGACGGCATGAAAAGGGGGCGATAGTGCTGAGCTCTGAGGCAAACTCTTGGCTTTGGAAAGCTCTGGGCAGAACCTTGTCTGGGTTCCCATGTAAACAGCTTGGGATGTGATGGGTCATAGGAGCTAGAGTTCAATGTAGCCCTGCTCAAAGGTACCTGAGCCTGGTACTGGAACAGGGCTAGATCCTGGAGTGCCAACGTGAGTGGGGACAGGGCTGGATGGGTCAGTTACATCTTTCCCTGAGAACTTTTGGAGTTTGAATGAGAAATGTCTCCAATAGGCTCCAGTATTTGGATACTTGCTTCCCAGCTGGTCCCCTGTTTGGGGAGTTTTAGCTTTGCTGGACAAAGTACATCACCAAGGGTGGGTTTTCATATTAAAAGGCTCATGATACCTCCAGTTCACTCTCTGCTTTTGTGCTTGTTGTTCAGTATGTGAGCTCTCAGCTTCCTGTGCCTGCCACTATGTCTCTGATGCTTGCTTGCTGTCCTGCCTCCCTGCCATGATGAACTCTTATCCCTCTGGAACTGTAAGTCAAAATACAATCACTCTCTGCTTTTGTGCTTGTTGTTCAGTATGTGAGCTCTCAGCTTTCTGTGCCTGCCACTATGTCTCTGATGCTTGCTTGCTGTCTTGCTTCCCTGCCATGATGAACTCTTATCCCTCTGGAACTGTAAGTCAAAATACACCATTTCTTCCATACGTTGCTTTTGGCTGTGGTGTTTTATCACAGCCTGGAAAAGTAACTAACACTCCTGGCTGGGAACTGTTGTGTTACATAGTTGAGAAAACACTTTCCTTTGAGAATGGTGGCTGCTGTTTTAGGAAAGCTGAATGCTGCTGGCCAGGTGCAGGGGCAGATGACAATATTGAGGGATCCATTGGATGGCCTCACCAAACCCTAAAATCTTGAACAGAGGGCCAGCTTACAGAGAGGTACCGGCATATTTCTGAGTGGGCAGCTTTATTGGGGCGGGCTGGGGCTGGACACCAGTGTGTTGCATCTGCAAGGCTGAAGCTCTGCAGTTTCCCCACAATCACCACAGAGGACTCAGAGGTCAGTGGAAAACACAGCAATCAATACAAAAGAAGTGGTCCCAGACCCTCTCATGACCATGAGACCTGGGGTCAGATCCAGGCCTCGGGAGTGGGCACGGTATTCCAAGAAGATGAATTGCCATCTATGGAGGAGACACGGCTAGTGCCCTGATCCAGGGGAGGGACAAAAGGTGTAGGAGCAGGATATAGAAAAAGAATGACACCCTCAGAGGTGACATTCAAGAGACAGATAAGTCACCACTTATAAATGCCCCATCAGACAGAGTGAACAAGCTCTGGTGTGACCACTAGCATCCTGACATGTCTTGTATTCAAATTGGGCACCAATGCGCTTACTAACACTCAGCCCCCACCCCTGCCATGGAGTAGAGGACTTTTGTCCTGTGGTAAAAAATCCTAAGACTCGCAGTTTGTTTTTCCCCTCCAGTGACAGCCCATCCTTGAATTGGATCCTAACACTGTCAATACCACACTGACTGCAAACAGGAACGGACACTGACGACCCTATCCTTTGAGGACATTTCCTTCCAGCTAAGAGAGGGCAGTTGGTCCTTCTGGACCTGCCTGGAGGGTTCCCAGCTCCCTGCTCGAGGTGCAGTCCAGGCAGGTGGAATGTGAAGACCTTTGCTACCAACTCCATCGCTCTGTGCCAGGCACACAGACAGAACGGCAGCTAGCGGCACCCAGTTGCCCTGTACTCAGCACCACCGCCCACAAGATGGGTCCTTGCTCCCATCACTACTGATTTCCTCTACCTGGGCCTCTCACTGTCCTGGCCTGACCCTCCCTCCAACTGTGCTGACAAGGCATGGGTACCAACCCTCCATCCCATCTCTCACTCACCTTGCAGAAGCAACTGATCTCAGGAGGCCTTGTGACAGTCTCCAGGCTGGTAAGCGAGCCAAACAGCCCTCCAGACAAGAAGTTACTTAGAAGCTATGGCCTGGCTAGCCACTTCTTCCTTGGCCTCACAGCAAGTGTTGTGGGCTTCCCAATTCTTCTACCATCTGTTCTTGTGGGCATCTCATTTTTTTCAAGGTCACACCATCTCATTCTCCAAACCCTCTGGGGGTTATTTCTGGTCTCTAAGGAGGCCAAGTCAGCTTCCCCAGCCCAGCATGCTGAGCTCCCCTGGCTTGGCTTCACCTTTGCCTCCAGGCTTGTGGTCTGCCTGACTCTTACTGCACACTCATCCCGACTGCTTTAGACCTGCTGTTTCTCAGGCCTGCCTAGTAGCTGCGTTTGCATTTTTCATTCCAGGCCCAAGTGAAAACCATGATGGCTTACCTGGGCTTCCGAGAAGCCAGGATTCTCTGCATCCCCTCCCTCTTGGCTCCACCTACTTCCCCAGGGTTCGGCAAGTTCTAGGTGACTCATGGGCACTAGCTCTCATCAGATCAACTATTAACCGATGTCCCCAGGCCTCTCATCCCCAGTTATTGCTATGTTTTTGACCCCTGGGCCCCTCAAGGCTCAAGTGAACATGGCTAGGCTCCCATTCAACCTTGGATATAGGACCACAAAGGCGGCTAGGGTTTCCTCCGTCTAAATCCACCCTGAAGCTGGCCTCACACCTTCCCCAGTTCTTACCGGCCATTGGCAGCTCCATTCCACCAGTCAAACAGCCAGAGAACCTCCATGAGCCCTCAGTTACACACACACACACACACACACACACCCCTCCACTGTCAGGGAGTAACCTCCACCTGACCTTTCTCAGCACAGGCATCCCATGAGCCCTCAGTTACACACACACACACACACACACACACACACACACCTCCACTGTCAGGGAGTAACCTCCACCTGACCTTTCTCAGCACAGGCATGCCACCTTAGCTCAGCTCAATTACTGAAACTGGCTCCTTCCCGCCAGGCTGCCTGCATCCTGTAGTCCACACCTCAGTCAGCAGTGGGAGGCTGCCAGGCCTCTCCACCCACCCTTCTGCATTCTCAGGAGTGCTTACACCACCTCCAGGTACTGCAAAACCTGCCCTGCTG